AAAGTGTTTACAATATCGGTTTGTTCTTTTGTCAGTGGTGACTATAGATCATTTTTGAAATAAGGAAATTATGCTGGAAACATTGGTACCCATAAAACATTTAGAAGGAAGTTAATCTATCAAAATTAAGTATAAATAATTTAAAAATCCAACTCTGATTTTCAACGGTATAAATATGTTTAATCTGCAACACACTAGTGAACATGTCATTTTCAAGCACAGCTTTGATTATAAAAAATGTAAATGAAGATATTTGAAGTACAAACCAGGGAAAGCAAGAAGAATATTTTACTCATAAAACTAACAATCACAAAAACAACTGGTAAAATAGATGGGAGGTGATTATCATAAAAACCAAGCAACTCCCAGATTTGCCAGCAATTTCATACCTGCATTGATCAAGTATTCAGATTTTAAACACATAACAAAGTGGAAGGGAAGTTCATTCCCTGCAAAATGAAATAAACTAGGATTCAAGTCTGAGTAGCCTGATTTAGGCATTGCATCAAATGTTTAAGGCTGAGAATAATGGTAGTGATAAGTTGAGTCACTGTCTGGTTTTTTTTTTTTTTTTTGTCCAATAGTTCTGAAAGGGCTGTGTGCAAGGCACGGATCTTACTTTGGCACTTGACCATCTGCAGCTGCTTCACTCAAGCCCCTAGTGAGTTAGTGTCCATGAAGTCCATCTTAATGAAGTAGAGGAAAGGGTCTTCAGGAATATAAAAGATTTACCCTGCTTATCTTGGAGCTGCGTGCAATGTGAAATAGAGAGCAAGTGGTGCGTGTGCTGGTATTTGAAAAAACTCTGTGGTTTAAACAGCTCCGTCTAAGAGACTGTGAACTGTGTTTGGAGCCAGCTTGGAGTGCTGAGCGCTGCAGAGCATGGTCAGCTCGCTTGCTGGCTGTTCCTATCATAAAAATGCCAAGGCCTTTTTACCTATTTATTTCTGCTTCCTTTGAGATTTGGGTTTACTGGTATGTGAAAGGAAAAAAAACCCAAAACACAAAAAAACCCAAGCATATGCTCAGTTGCTCAATCAACCTTTTCTCAATCCACACTCGGTGATCTCAGTGAGTCATTACAGCGTAATTACAATTTGAGTGTGTTACGCTGTTTGTAGAAAAGTATCTATTTTTAGCTGAAGAAACACCACAGTCCCTGAAAGGGGGAGAAAGAAAGAAAAAAAGGTAGGAAGAAAATCCGTAACCAGCAAATCAATGCTATTGTTACCTGATATTACGAGACACCCCGTAGATTTACAATGCTTGCATTCAGCCACATAAAAACCGCACTGAAAAGAATGCCTACCAGGGGTTAAATTCATATGCCTGCGCTGCAGCCTATTTCTGTCAACACTCAGCTCAGGAAATAAACATTTATGCTTTCTGAAATGAAAGTGTATTTTTGAAGACTAGCCGTCAGATATTTTTTGCCCTTCACACTTTCAAATGCTTAGCCTTTTTTGTAAGTTGACTGCAAAGTGCATCAGTTTGCTAGGCAAAAAGAAAAAAAAAAAATCTTGACAAGCGCCCATGGCATCATTGTCAAGCGAACGAGTGTCTAGTAGAAGATGGCAGGAGGGTTGGCACAAAACATGCTTCCTTCAAGCCTCTTACCTCAGGGGTACCTGACTCTTGAGAAGCCTTTCAATCCTTCCAAATGACGTTATTGCAAACTGTCATCTGGTTTGTTTGGAGCGCGCTGTATCGCAGATAAACATGCTATTTAACTGCAGGTCAAGGTACAGAGTCATTCTGCTAGCAAATGCCTGAGAACATTAAATGGCATTGACTTGGGGAGGGAGATGGAAAGAGATCAAAGTTGTCACCAATATGGTACACGCTAAGGGGGAAAAAGGTACACAGCATTGTATTTTAAAAAGCCATTATGCAGTTCTACGTTAAAAACGATGACCTGCGAGACTCTTAAAGATTAAAGAGCCCCACAATGCACGACAAAGTTCAAAACCAGCCTGTCATGCAGCATCTCAGGGCGGTTTGGAAAGAGCTTGCAGTTGTGACTGGGAAGGCTACCGCTGGTCCAGAAAGCTGGAAGTGTATTTACATCTAATTTGGAGACTTTTTAAAAAATAGTTCCATTTTAAAATAGAGCATGTCCACTTGTCACAGAACGTGGCTGATCTAGGGGATTCATGCAACAAAAGCTCAGAGAATCAGAGCAGAGTTTGGCATGAAATAGGTGTAACCTCCTCCAAACAATTAAATATGTGTAAACATATATGCCAGTGTAATCTTTTCACTGTGGCTTGCTGAACAGCTATTAAAAGGGCATTGGTGTGATAGGAGAGACATGCTGGATGCTTTCACATTTTCTGAAAAATCAAAACAAAACAAAACCAGATTAATTACAACTTGATGCAGCTTTACATTCCCACAAGAGATGTCTTTAAAAGTTAAAACATGCTTTTGCTGAGCAGGCTTTCAAGGGAAAGTTACTTCGATCAGGAAGAAAATAATCATGTTTATTTGATTTATTATTGGAGAGCAGACCAGTGTGCTTTGTATTTGCCAGTTTTTCTAGAATGTAAAAAATTTCTTTTGATTTTTTTTATGTGTCATATAAAAAACAATTAGTATATTTACAGCACCAGAATGCAGATTTTTCAAGAGTGCAGTACCATAAATTATAGGCAACATCTCATTTTTCCCCTTCACAGGGCATATGTAATTTCCTTTGACTGTGGCACACAATAAATGTTATTGAAACATAGCATTATTTATTAAAAAAAAACCCTAACCAACAAATCTGTACTAAAATAGATAAATAAAAGAAGGAAGTTGGGAGTTTTCAGGGGAAAAAAAGAATAGAGAGAAATTGCAAGTTAAACTTTTTTTAATCAAAACTGATTTTATTGCTTTTTGCTTAATTAAACTCCTCAGAAGTGTGTGAAACATTGTTATACCTGAAAAACTGTTAATTTGTAAATCACAGGGACAAAAGGGCTCCACTGCAACTTTAAAGTTTCTATGCACGTAAATGTCAATAGAGTGCCTTCTCCATCATCAGCACTAAATTCACATTGATGCCTCTTTTCTTCTCTGTATTGATCCTTCCATGAGAACGTAGATTTGTATCTGTTAATTAATGCGTCCTGAAACAGCGTTTGTATTAATCAGGCAGATAAGAAAAATTGGATGCCTGCACCCTCATGACAACCGTAAAAGTGCTGGCCCTGATAAAATCGTGGATGGACCTCAATAAAAAAGTTCCTCCTTCCACTCAATAAACTAATCATCCTGCTTTTAATTATTCGGCAGAAAGATGTGTGGAGATTGGAGAATGTGTAAATCTATTTACTAACAGCAGTGTCTGGGAGGGAGAATGGGGCTGTCACAGGACGGTGCTGCAGGCTACGTTCTCTGTCCATCTGCTACTGCAGAAAAACTGGTTCTTGAAAGCCGGGAAGGAACAGAAATGTTGAAGCTAATTGAAATCATGAATTCCTCCCTATAACCTTTCAGATAATTATTTCTTCTCCATTTCCCTCTTATTTATTTTAATCGTGGATGTGTTATTTTTCACTGTCACCTCTTCAAGTGTTTCCTGTTGCCTTTTTTTTTTTTTTTTTTTTTGAAGGCAGAGAGCTACAGTTCTATCACAAGACTTGAAAGACAGTAAGAGAAAATGAAAACAAACAAGGAGGGGGAGAAAAATGCGAGAGCGAGCGTGCAAGAGAGAGCATGCAGCCAGTTTTATATTTCATTTTTTATGGATGCCTGGTGGTTTGGATGTGGAGTTTTCTTTTTTTATTGTATTAGTTTTGCTGCTTAGTGCTTATAGAGGAAATCTTGTTTGGAGTAGATGCCTTGCAGATTTGCTAGTTGATGATATATTCCTGCTTGACTGTAACTCTGGACTTTCAAAACAGAAAAAAATGCATGTAAGTGTAATTGAATGCCAAAAAGAATGTTCTTACAGCGGGAACTCTGTCAAAGGACATGTAAGCAGCTCCATAAACAACTAAATGAAAGCCTCAGACATGTCTTAAGACCCTTTAAGAAAAGCTTGACTAATCCCCTTTGATGATTTTATTAAGTACTTGTGGTTGATGGTGCCAACTGGCAAACTGCTGCATTTCACCAACAGGCCAGGAAAATCGCTTCCTCTCCCATATTGTTTTGTAGCTCCTAATGTGATTGGGATATTAGCAGTTTGATATAATAAATTAACAGGTTCTGTAAACGTGTCTGAAAAGGTAAGACAGTAAAGATGTTTGCCCTTAGCGATCCTATTAGGAAGGACAGCAGGAAAAAAAAAAAAAAAAAAAAAGAAGAGCAAAAGTTAAATTCATTAAGAAGCATTTATTAAATTTTTAGTTGCCCTCAGAAAAAGGATGGTGTGACTGCTTGCTATTCAGTTGGCACATTAATATGCCACCCTGTTATTTCAACCTCAGTAGAGGCGGGAGCCACTACAGGGGTAATTAGCATCTTTTCTGAGGGGGGTAAGCGTTACTTTTTTTCCCCTGAGGTTAAAGTTCAAAGAGAGGGAGAATTTTCCTCTTTGTGCTAAACACCTTAACTTTTTTAAAACATCAGATCTTTCCTTTTAAAAAAGTTTTTTTTTCCGTCTCCTAAATTATTCTTCTTGGTTTGTGGTAATGATGAGCAGAGTCATCAGATGCCTGTTTCACAGCATCAGGTTTTAGAACTAAGCATGAGTATTTCAGAACAAAGACGTCATACAAATGGCAGACTATCACTGCAGTACTCCCCAAATGAATATGACTCTTACTTAAAGAACCTGCAAATTCCAACTTGTGTATAACTTAGTTCGTTTATTCAAAAATGTTTGACTTTTATATTGATTTACTTTCCTGTAGTAGGATGAGGAGGAGAGGCACAAAAGCAGAAGGAAAAAAAATAGAATACGTACATGTTTTATCACCATGCATATAAAAATCAATCAAAAAGAGGAGATCTCTGACCAATCCAAACGTGCTTAATGTTTTTCCTATTTTTTTTTTTTTCCTATTCAGGATTCTCCACTTTGTCTCTAGCTGACCAGATGAGCCTTCTGCAGAGTGCTTGGATGGAGATTTTGATTCTCGGTGTTGTATACCGGTCACTTTCTTTCGAGGATGAGCTCGTATATGCTGAAGATTATATTATGGATGAAGACCAATCCAAATTGGCAGGCCTTCTTGACCTTAACAATGCCATACTGCAGCTGGTAAAGAAATACAAGAGCATGAAGCTGGAGAAAGAAGAGTTTGTCACCCTCAAAGCTATAGCACTTGCTAATTCAGGTTGGCAGAGTAGCATGACAGTTGCTACATTTTTAATATGTCACTTCTTTTTTTTTTCCTCTATAATACTTTCTGCATGCTTGTTTTAAACCTGAAATTGCTAATTAGACCTCAGCCTAAAAGGCAACAAACAAAGCAGTGCAAACTAAGAAGAGCTTTCTGGTTCTAATAGTGGAATAAGTTCCCAAAGGAGTGGAGAATACTGCACTGTATGATTTGGAGAGTACTTTACAGGCAAAGATCCTTTCGCATGAATATAGATGTTGGTCTCCTAAATCCATCCCATAGTCCAGGCAAGTCTAATCATTGCAGTTCAAATGAACAGAAAGGATGCATGAGAATATGCTATATATGTTCTCTTTAAAGGCAGATACTGATTCATTTGAGAGGGTGCATTCAGGGTATGGGAGGAGGGAGGAAATTCTTATTTAATCTCACAAGGACCACACCTTTCCATATGGATCCTTTGTGTTTATGAGAATGCTCCTGCAAAAATTATTACCTGGGCAGGAAGGGTTACAAATCTCAGAAAGAATTTTTTTTTTCTGCATTTGAATTTGAAAGTGCTGAAGCAGTGAATACTGTCAGATAAGTAAAAATCGTTTGTGCTTTGTTGTTTTTCCTTTTGTGTCTCCTTAATGCTTTATTGTGGTCTTAAGTCCCTTTTAGCATTTGCATAAAGTTCACGATAGATCCCTCTTTAATGACATGCCGATCATTAGATACCTGTGTGTCAATAACATGCTCTGATGCTATGTTCCATTGACAGTCACACCGTGCCCCTCCATCTGCTTTTGTTTTGACCCTATCTTTGAACTTTATCTTGGTTGCTGGCCAGTAGTTTTCCCTTTAATTACAAGAAGGAAACTGTCAATAAAATCTGTTAAATGGGATGCAATGAGTGGCTTGAATGGGCGGACGGCTATTTGTTCAAATTCTGCAGCATTCAAGGTATTGACAGTTTGTTTTCTGGGGCCATATGTGACGATCAATCTCAGGCTGGGCTCAGCCGCGCTGAAAAATGAAAAACCAGATTGCTTTTGCTTACTTGTGGATGACGACTTGTGATTTGGCGCGGTCCTAGTGAGATGAGACCTTCTGCCCAAATTGCCCCCCTGAGAGCCAGGACGCGTGACTGTTTTTAGAAATAATTTTTTAATTGATTTTGTAATTAACAGTTCATCTACAATATTGATGCATGAATCCTCAGATTGATAGGAGGGAAATTGTTTTCAACAATGAAGTTGTACTTTCCTATTTGTCTTTGTAATGTGATTTAGCACTCTGCATTTTTAATTGGAAATATAATTCAAAAACATGCAAAGCCCAAATGCTTATTAGTTTCTTTGTAAAATATTCTCCACCCCACTAACTCTGCCCTTAGTTTAGAATATTATCTTATTTCCAGAGTAAACAAAATGCTGAAATGCCTCTCAAAGATGAAAATTATTTTTGATTGGAGATTTATTTATAATTTTTTACTATTGTAAATAGACACTTGAGGATGCTTTGCAGCTCCAAAATTTCTCAAAATTGGTCATGCTTAATGAACAGAGCAAGAAAGTTATCTTGAATTAGGAGTCTAAATTTAGAAGCATTTTGTATTTATTATGATTCTGTAATTCAAAGACTGAATTAGAAATATTTCTGATCTTTGATAAAATATTTCTATTTACTTTATAGAAGGGATGGGGGCTGGAATATAGGGATATGGCGTTAAATACCACTCGCCCCCTTTTTTTTTCACTAAATAAGACATGCAGTGTTTAAGTAATAATAAAAGATACTGCTGGGAAAAAAAGTTTAGTCATACATTGTGCATAGAGTGTATCAAAATCATCTGTAGCTTCATTAACTTCGCTGGGAATTACAGCCAGGATAATGTCAGAGATAAATACAATTCAGCATACAAAAATTCAGAGCACATTTAAGTGAAAATGTTTCCTTCCCTCATCTTAAAAGAAATAAAATTGCTGTTTTAAGATGAAACAATTCCAAGGAGGAGTTAAAAAAGCAGCCTAGCCATTGGACTTCCCTTTCAAAGGATCTTTTCACTGCTGGCATTCGACACCTCAGCTTCAGGTTGTACCTGCGACGGATACCAAAATTCTGTCAGCTGTAGCTGCAGAATTACAGCCCATCAAAGAATATCAGACCCCCAGTGTTTTAATTTACAAATGCTGCTAGAATTTAAGTAAAATTAAAATTAAAGTTTTTGTCCTTTTTTATAGGCAAAACCCAAAATAGCTTATTTTCACACAACTATGAACTTGATTAATGTAAATGTAACTATAGCCAAAAAAGAAATAAAATGCCATTATAAAATCAAGCAGTTAGCAATTCACATTTTAATATATTTTGTTGTTCTATCTGCTTTCTTCTAAAACTTCTGCTATTTATTTTTCTGGTTTAAAATATATGAACCTCTTTATAGTTGTGGAGAGAATGGATGAAGCATAATAAGAAATCTTGGGCATTTCAGACATTTTTTCCATATCTGCACTGTTCTAGCAAGATTCCCAGGTTGCCTGTACTGTAAAGAGTAGACAAAGATGGTTTTATGGCTCTGTATCTGTGTTAGTGATTTATGATACAGTGTCATCGTACTTTCCCTGCTGGTGTAGAGAAGCAGAAAAAGAAATTGTAGATTTTCTTCATGTTGATTATATTTTGTTTAAGCAAATACCACAAGCTTTGTTTTGGCCAACAATTCTCAGTATCATGAGCATTGAAATAGCTCAACTGCTAACTTTTCTTCAGGCCTCCAGAGTCTCCTTGTGCAGTAGTGGGGCTGAGATAATCCTGCCGTTTGGCTTCTAAAAGGTGGGGAGGAGCCGCTGTTCAGGGAGGTTCTCTGACAGCCGTTATCAAATGTTCCCTTTGCAGGGCTGGCAAATGCCACCCCGCTTCTGTAAACT